AAGTTCATGCATGCAGATAGGGCCAGCTTTCAAAACACCAACCTAAGAGGTACCCATACAAACACCACACAATAATGTCTTGTTATTAATGTTAGTTCAGGCGCCAATATATACAGTTTGAGTGCAAGCAAGGCCAACCTCCAAGGTGCTGATTTGACAGGTATGGTGTGCAGCCTGTGCTGAGCTATGCAATTCTACTGCTCACTTTACTTACAGGAGCTACAATTGAGTATGCCCAGTTCCCAAATGGATTTTCTCCTCAAGTATGAAGCTTCATGAAGCTTCATTACAAAGTTGTATTTACACCACCCTGCAGTCCTGGAATGCCAAGACATGCAAAGCTGGACCACTAGAAGTGTGCAGTTTATCTTCCTTGGCACTGTCTGTGTTTCTTAGCTTTTTTAAAGTGCATTAATTGCATGAGGATTTTTCCTCCTCATTTGTAACAAATGGACTGGTTGCTCTCTAAGAACCTGCAGCCATATGAAATGTGAGTCATTGAAAGGAGTGTGATATTTAAGAGGTTAAAATAGAAATAGCACTGCAATTTTCATCATTTTACCAAATATGTACTTTTACCCTTCCCAAAGAAAGTCCAATCAACACAATGCTGACAAAGGTTCTGGCCAATTTAGAGGCAAGTTTTTTCTGCCCCACTCCATGTGATAAATGTTGCACTACACACTTTTTCAAGCTTCCAGTTTTTGCCCTGATGCAAGCAAAGGCCAATATCCAGAAAATGTGGCACCACCCTTCTGTTTCAAAAGTGTACATTGCCTTCTTGATGCTCAGTACAACCCCTGCAGGTCTTATACCATTAGCATCAGGCCATGCTCCAGCTCAGTGGCATCAAGATGAACTTCTATACTGAATTTGGGCCTCTGTTTGTGATTTTCCTGATGAAGGGTTTGCCTGGAATAACAGGACTAGGCTCAGTTGTGGTATTGGAGTGTAATGTGGTATGGTTTCGCCTGAGGTGCAAGCCCTTGTGCTTATGTATGTGGAGTTGTGTAATGTGCATGCAAGCTCTACACAAGAATAAGTGAGATTGGTTTTCATATAACTAGTGACAACAGCCAGGAGGGCAGGGAGAGGCCATCCAGGATGGCCAACAGGCAGGAGGTTGGTCATGCAGAATTTGAGGAGGGAAGGCTGACCATGACTGGTCCAGCTGGTTGAAATGCAAAGTATGTGAAGTGCACCTCAGCTCCTTGTTGCTGAAGGATTCCCATCCCTCCTCCCCCCCAACCAAGCTGGCAGTGCTCATGTCTTCACATTGAACATGGTAGAGAACTGGGGCGTCTCCTTTCCCCAGCAGAACATGTTGTGTCAAAAGTTGATGATGTGCCACTCACAATCATCAAGAACGTGCAGCGGCGAACATGCGGCTGTACCGATCCACAGCGGCCTGCCACTTGGCTCTCATCATCCGGGCGGTGGTGGGTCTGTTGTCCGCCGCGCCATCTCCGCGTGATGAGGATGATGCAGCGTCTTCGTTGGCGGGAGGACTGGTCCCATCATGCAGTCGCTGCTGCTGCTGCTGCGCCATCCACTCGCACACGACCCGGGCCTGCGGGAGGAGGCCCAGCTCGCCGCAGAGCACCAGCAGGAGCGTCGCGCCGCACTCTGGGGTGCGGGCAGGACCAGGCCCGGCTTGCGCCCTGGCT